TTTCCTGGAGCTCGACTGCTTGCTTCCAGGTTAAAGCGGTTATACTAGCGGTGCGTGTGGGCAATAGCCCTTCTATGACACTATTGTCTTAAGCGGTGTGGTTCCAACGACGAGTGCGACGGGAAGAGGCGCACGTAGGCCGCGCGCGCCTTTTATTCCTCCGGTTGGAATGATCGCGTGATATTCTGGGATCATCTTCTCTCCCCTCCCACCCCACCACTCCGATGTGTCGATAGGAGGGTATGAATGTTATCGTTTGGAAAGGGATAAACGATTTGGCAAGCCTACCGTCAAATAAAAATAAATACGAATGGTTTTCCGCGCAACCACTATGCAATATCTACTTTATACCTACCTCATCTATCAATTCATCTATTATAGCATATAAAAGTGTACTGTTGAAGATAGGTTTCCTCCATAGATTGCTTCATAAGGGAATTTTGCCATAAATACTGCGCTTGTCAGATGACTTGACAGGTGTCCTGGCTACCGCATGTTTTATTATTTTGATTTGTTATCCTGTTTTAATTTTCCCCTATCGCCTCTTACTACACCCACGAAACGCTATCGGGTAGATATTCTTACATCGCCACCACTTAATACAAAATATCGTATTATACTACCTCGCAGGTAAGAGTGGTCGTAAGCACGGCTGCTGATCGTGCGGTCCCTTGCGATCCCAAGTTCGAACACTGGTCGGACCAAAATTAGTTTTTTCGGCTGGTTTTATGGTCTTGTGGACGGAGGTCTCATTCGGATACTCAAACTGATAGAGATGAACTATCATACATTCCCATTAGCTTAATGCCATTTGTCCCTACCTTTCCATTCATCGGTTGATCGCCGGTGGCAAACAGGAGATGATCAGCACCATCGTTATGATATAACTTAATAAAAAAAACTGCGGTTGCCAATCCGACCACCAAGCGTGCCAACTATGGCGGTATACTCCCCATAAATAAAACAACAAAGAGACGGCTTGTGTGCAGCTGTTCTGTAACTTAATTAATTTGAGGAAGACGAATTAAATTAATTTTTAATCTCACAACTATATTTTAAATATTATACTGTAATTATACTACAAAAAATTTGTATGCTTACTCTTAAATATACTACAAAAGTTGTGTCAAGAAAACCCAAACACGCTCTCCACGTTGAAATTTCCACATGTATCGTGGGGACGCTCTACAAAAATAAATTTCACGAAGACAAAAATCCAGACTCGGAACAATGATTGTACTTGTTCGGTGCGGGATTCCAACCCGCGACCCTGAACTTATTGCCAAGCCTCTGTGCCACGGAGCCATGCCTTCGGAAATAAATAAATAAATTTTGTATTTTTTGTTTTTGGATTAATCAGCAAGCATCATTATTGCTTCAGTAGTTTTTTAAAAATAAAATCTTGCGCAATTCGACAACACATCGTCAATTATTGGATTAAATTGTTAGAAAGGTTATTAAATTTACAGTAAATAAGTCGTGAATTTAAGAGGAAATGTTCAGCGTAAAGCGGAAAATTGAAAAAAACGTTCGGAGAAATTAATTTCCGTGCAATACGCATTAGCGAAGGAATTTGGCAGAAAATTAGATTTGGAGAATTTGGTAAATTCTAAACTAAATTGAGTGTCACACGGGTACTAGCTTTGATTTTTGCTATATATGTCACTTATGGTTTAATAAAATGGTTAATTGGCTATTTTTAACTTTTTTAACTTTAACTGAAATATTACACTCTCATATAAAAAAGTGATGAACATTCTTTAAACATTAGAAACAAGCACAAGCTGGTAATATCGACCCAAAGATTCAGTAATTCTTACATGCGGCAGTGTGCTTTGTTAAAACAAAGTCTCAAAGAAAATACAGAAATTTATCTAAAAGTAATTTTATTTCAGCAAAAATTGTTCAACACGGGGTTGTTATTCTACTCAATAGTACATGACTGGACTGAATAACCCCTAGCAATGAGGTGATCGCTACCATACTGTTTCTAAATGTTTTCATAATATTTAATTGTACAACGTATTATTTTGTAAATTATTGTTTAAAAATAGTCCCGATGGGTTTCTTGCTTGTTCTTCCCAGGACAGAGAATTTTTCGAATCAATGTAAAAGCTTTTCATAAAATTTTTGATTTTCTTTAGATTTTTTTTTAAACGTTATACTAGGATTTTCTCCTGTATCGTGGAGGAAGTTTACATACATAAAATGCACAAGGACAAACATCCAGACCCGGAACAATAATTTGGAAGCCAAACAAATACTTGTTCCGTGCGGGATTCAAACCCGCGACTCCGAGCGCCGCAGTTCAATGTTAAGCCACTGCGCCTCGGAGCTGTCTCGGATAATGATTCTATTCTATTCTATTGGACATTCTGACTTGTAAAACAGTTGTTGAAATACTTACGAACAAATATGTTCTTTCTTTTCTTTACCTAAGATTTGCACCATAGTCAGATAAGTTTCATAAAAACCTACAAGGTTTTCTGTAGAAAGCTAGCGCGTGTCTACTTTTCATTATGTAACATTTCAGTTATCTGGTATCATTTATTTTCAAGAGAAATGAGACTTTCAGCAGTAAAAGGCGTTTTGCTTTACGACAAAGATAAAATATCTACATCACACCACAAGGTAGAATATTGAAGATATTTTTCTTAACAATACTTGTAGTACTATTTATTAAAATACCTCTAGCACGCTTGATGAGTATAGTGTCGGATTCTGCTGATGTTTTCAGCGACTCTTTGCCCTCTTTCGAAAAACCTTACTTAAGATTATAACAAAATTTTAAACATGAAAGAATTGGTGGTAAAATATGTTGTTTTTGTTTCTAATTACGTTAAGAAAAATTCTCTCTCTTTTGTGTTACTTTAAATATTCGTTCGTTTTAGGTTCGTTTTAAATATATAAACGCAGCCGGTGCGTATTTATCGACAAACTACCATTTTTATACAACATGTTACCAAAACCCAATGGTTCCCTTTTAGTGCGTTAGCAGAATGAGTATTCAAACGAATAGAAATAACTTTACTTCAGTAAACTCGACTTAAACAAAAATCAAGTAAATGTAAATACATTTTTATTTGCAAACTAGCTTCTGCCCGCGACCTCGTACGTGGATCCTGTTGCTTATGCCAGCGACAACGGGGTCGTCAAAATCGAAGATCTGAAACGTCTGATGTTAAATTCTAAGAGCCCGGGGACGGGAAAACAACGTGATTCGCGAGACGAATCGAGACGTTCTAGATCTTTCATTTTTGTAAGTCAACAGGAAATGCTCAGACTAAACAACTTTTGCTAAGACGTCATTCCTATATATGATATAGTGTCGCTGGGCTTTGGATGGAGTGTAACTCCTTGTGTGTTATTAAGTTAATATATTGGTAATATTGTTTGGATCACGTTCACATGAGGCTTAAGTACTTATAGAACAAAAATACTTTAGCGCAAAGCTTAAACAACTAAAATAACTAAACGGCCCATATTCACCATATCGTCGATCTATCGATCGTATATAAACTAATCTTTCGGGTTCAATTTTTGCGTACATGTCAACAATAAACTGATTGAATAAGTCACGAAAACGCTGAAAGTATACAAATCTATTCCGTCTCACTTGCAAGTGGTAACAATAAAATTGAAGGCATGACATCTTTTTATTATAATTAGGTGCGCTTGTACGCGGATAAGTTTGGTATAAAGCGAAATTATAACCATCTTCCCCTCAAGAGTATATCAAAGGATATTGCAAACTGTCTTAAGCCCTGTGGGTTTCGTAAATACGTTGCAAACGATTGTCTCTGGAACGGATAACGATATCACGCCTACCACATTCCTGGTCGACCAATACTACAGCAACTTCATTCGTGGATGGTACGTTATAACGCCCAGGGTGTTCCGGAGTTGGACGCCTATCGGCATTTATAACAATTTTATAATTGTTATCACCATCTTGAGGAAGAGCTTCTAATGCCGATTTAAAACTGCATACATACGAATTAACCTGATGAAACATGTTCTGAAGTTGTAAAATAATTTCAGTATTTAAATTCAGGAAATATTGATTTCTTATATTTGACCGTTCGCTGTAGTTGAATACAAAATATATTTGAAGAAACTTAGGTTGGTCTTCAGGTAAAAGGGATCCTATCAAATGACAAACATGACCTTGTATCTTAAAAGTAGGCATGAAAGGACCTTCTGAGATTTGTTGAGCACCAAAGGATGTCATTTGAAATGCACTGTTATAAGTGCGAATATTGTCTAAGAACTGTTTAGATTGCACATGTTCCCCTAAAAGTAGTGACTTCAAAGGTTCCGGTGGATCTTCGAACGAAGGCAAATTTATTTTACCACCAGAACAATAGAAACCAGCCGACTCCTTACTCCACTTTGAAGCATTACAAAAAGAACATACTACGTTCATATCCCCTATTACATAAGATGATCTGTAATTAATTGTGAGGTTATAAGCAAACCCACTTTTATATTTGTCGGACCACGCCACCGAATTTGTAGATTGATCTTCTATGTGTACATCTAAGTCATTAAGACTATGTCGAAATCTGTCTGCAGTAAGACGGGCCTCTCGCTGTTCATCCGTTTCAAGAGACCGAATATTTTCAATTCTTAATCTTTCATTAGACAAATTTATTAATCGTTCTTGTCTCAAAGAATTATAATAGTCGCGTCCCGACTCTAGTCGTTGTTCATGCTCATGTTCAACTTCAAGAGATCGAATAATATTATGGTGCACCCTATCATTTGTCAAACGGTCTTCATATTGAGTAAAAGTTTCAGATTCTCGAGATAAAATATGACGTTCGCGATCAGCTTTGAGACGTAATTCCCTCTCGTGAAGGTTTCGGACTCGCGAGATAATGTATGCCGTTCGCGGTCAGCTGTGAGACGTAATTCCCTTTCAGTGTAGGTTTCGGACTCGCGAGATAATGTATGCCGTTCGCGGCTGCTGGAGCCGCAATTCTCTTTGTGAAGCAGTTTCAGCTTCTCGTTAGAAGAACTTTGACGCCTCCGCATCTCCACGCATAACTCTCAATTAACCGATGTGTTCTTTCCTCTGCCGATTCAGAATCAGCTGTGAGACGTAATTCCCACTCAGTATAGGTTTCGGACTCACGGGATAGTACATGCCGTTCGCGATCAGCTTTGAGACGTAATTCCCTCTCAGTGAAGGTTTCGGACTCGCGAGATAAGAGCCGTTCGCGGTCAGCTGTGAGACGTAATTCCCTTTCAGTGTAGGTTTCGGACTCGCGAGATAATGTATGCCGTTCGCGGTCTGCTGTGAGCCGCAATTCTCGTTGTGAAGCAGTTTCAGCTTCTCGTTGAGAAGAACTTTGAGACGCCCGTGATGTAGCTCGTCTCGCTCTGTCAGCTGTTAATTGCATCTCTCTTTCTGGAGAGCTTTCATTGGCTCGAGAAGTTGAGGCATTAACTCTCATAGAGTTTAACCGATGTGTTCTTTCCTCTGCCGATTCTTGAGAACGCACATTTCTCATTCTCTTAGCTTATCTCGAATTTCGAGATAAAGATAATCGTTTTTTAGGTGGCATTGTGTATTTTATTTTTAAGCGACGGCATTCAGTTACCTACCTAACAAAATAATCTACGTTAGAGGTCCTAACTATAGCTACTATACACTTAAAAAAATCTGAATGCCTACTTAAATAATTAAATGGTTAAACGAACTTACCTTAAGTGAAGTTCAACCATAATTATACGAAGCTCCTTGTCCTAGACATTCTTAACAATTGTAGTACGCCGCATTTTATGCCGGCATCACAACTTATCCAAGCTCGCTAAAAAAATTTTTAAAGCAGTATATCTGGCAACACTGTATCAACCCGTCCGTCAATGCAACTTCATTATGTTTAAAGCAAGGAATTAGATGAACAACCCTAACCCAGGGAGAATTGGGCCAGGAGTACCGTCTAGGACAAGGAGCTTCGTATAATTATGGTTGAACTTCACTTAAGGTAAGTTCGTTTAACCATTTAATTATACTCCCTCCTTGTCCTAGACATTCTTAACAATTGTAGATGTTTGAAGACAGGGTTGCGAATTTATAATACCAATGAATGGAAATTTGAAATTTTCCTTATTTTATAAAAATGTTGAACATATTGCCTCTATAGTAAATTTAAATTAATAACATAAATAAGTTATCGTTATTTCATGACATTTCCTTATACACATAAGGCCAGCTTGATTTCAGCAGAAGTGGCCCTGTGGAAGAATTATGACTGAAAAAGAAAACAATCTGGAATATCTATAATCTAGTTTTGGAATATATTTTAACATCTTATAACTTACTTAAGAAATACTATTCTAAGTGGGTTAAATTTATCAAGTTTACAATCCCCTTCAGAAGTGAAATATCAAACCAAACATGCTTTCAAAAATTCAAACCTGTCTAACCTCAAAGTGTTAGCTCTAAAGGTTTGAATAGTCAACTGTGTCTATCCTCTATGTGATAGCTCTAACAGTTTAAAGACTGCAGTGATTTCTTCCGAGCCGTAGTCCATCGTAATGTCATCCTTCAAGTGATATTGCTTTCAATTCAAACCTGTTCAACCTCAAAGTGTTAGCTCCAAGATTTGAATAGTCAACTGTGTCTATCCTCTATGTGATAGCTCTAACAGTTTAAAGCCTGCAGTGATTTCTTCCGAGCCGTAGTCCATCTTAACGTCTTCCTTCAAGTGATATTGCTTTCAATTAAAACCTGTCTAACCTCAAAGTGTTAGCTCTAAGGTTTGAATAGTCAACCGTGTCTATTCTCTATGTGATAGCTCTAACGGTTTAAAGCCTGCAGTGATGTCTTCTGATTCCTAGCCCATCTTAATATCTTTCCACTAATGATAGCATCTTATATGTGAATTAAGATCTGTCTACCTTCTAAGTCATAGCGGTAAGGTTTGAATAGTTAACCATGTCTATCCTCATAAATGACAGCTCTAATGCGTAGCATTTTTAATAACTTATGCTAGAAATTCTCTCAACAATTTTAAGTTTACAGTAATTACTTCTGCCTCTCTACACCGCTTAATATCTACCAGTAGTATTTTTCGTTCTTATTTTATTAATATATACATAATTCATGTAATTATATTCTAAATGACAGTTCTAACGGTCTGTATATAGCATCTATATAACTCCTGTTAGATAATTTTCCCAGCAGTTTTAATTCAATAGTGATTTTGCATCCCTATCTCCTCAATATTATACTTTTCCTATTTATTCAATACTGTCGGAAACTACGTGCACGTCAAAAGTGGGAATAGTCTTGCCTAACTTTCAAATCATTGGTATGTTGGTATATTTTGCTACCTTGATGTCCGGTGATCATGTGGGGGTTCTCGTACGTTGACAATTTTTGGACTTCTTTTGCCAAACCCTTGTGAGACTTTCTAGTACTTTTACATCTATAATTTGTAACAAGTTTTTCATTATACTCATAATATTGAGCCCTTTGTAATAAAACTATACCATTAATTATCTTTATTTGATTGCTTCTAAATCTCAGTACCGCAAAATATTTTCTCATGTGAAAAAAAAAACCTATGGTTTTTGACTCATCGACATTAAGACGAAATACATAAAAGAAGAATCGTCTCCCAATCTAATATAACTGCCATGGTTTTTGGGTCATGCCTACAGAACCCCATTGTTAAGTATATAATAATTTTATTATTTCTCGTTTGTCGTTGAGAAGTGTCAATTTATATTTCAAACGGTTTTATGCGTTTAATGTTTTTTTTTGTAATATTATTAACTACCATCTAAGGTCAGAAATCTGCGACTGAATATATATTACATAACGTTGTACATATACATTATTATATATAATAAGGTTTAAAGCACAACATTATTAACCTCATTTTACTAATAGCAACCAAAATGGGTTATGCACAATATATTTAGTCACTATTTATATTATAAAATTTTTATAGTTCTTAAGTATTTTTACATAATTTCCTCTTACTACAACAATTTATTTTGTTGCTAACATATCGCACATCCTCTAAAAAACAGTCACATTACAAAAAATGGCGTTTTGAGTTATAAACGCAGTTTTATCCCGCTTTCTATTCTCTAATTATGAATAAAACCGCCATAACTGTAGTGTGACAGAATGCTACTAGATGGTGCAAGTGTCAGTTTTCTCGGGAACACAAATGCGCTTCGCCCGCTCGGAAACAGTGACGCATCAAAGCAATATTAGAAAGTACTCTGTGCATCAAAGTTTACGGCGAGTGAACGTGTGTTAGTGCTCGTGAAAACTGTCATAAGCTGTCTTAGGACTATATTTCGGGTAAGTTAATTTGAAGTTCTATTAAATAGATGAGTAAAAAAACTGTCATATAACATAATACTACAGTTTAGTTCATTCTTAATAAAATAAAATTTTAAAATAGAATCTAAAAATTTGTTTATGACGTTGTTTTTCTAAACTTTATCCTTTTTTCATAATTTGACCTGGTGAAAATATAGATCTATTCTATGTTGTGGCACTTTTTTGTTTTTATTAAGCAAAATTTTGTAAAAGCTGATTGAAAAAAAAACCGTCACAACTAGTTTATGACTGTTTTATCTAATTTAATCTAATTAGTTTATACTACATAGTGATGGTAATACAATCATATTATAGGTTATGCCCATTTTGTATCCAGATTTATGTCAGTTTAACAGTTTAACCACTACTTTAAATCCATTAAATATGAGAAAACAATGTCATTCCCCGTTTTTCTTTCATAACATAGAAATGGCTGACACATTTAAAGAAAGTCGGGCTAAAAAGTTATTGCAATTAATATAATCAAAATATTGAAAACAAAGAAAATTATGATAACAATAGCAAAGGTAAGCTGGTATAGAAAAAAATATTGGGTAATTTTTGAAGTGATCTATAAATATTGATTTATGTTTTTGTCTAAACTGAAATGTTTTCATAATAAAAATTTTGTATATTATTATAAAGCACTATTATTTTTTTGCAGAAAATCCAGTCATTATGCCAATAATTGAAAACTCAGGGAATAATGAGATAATAAAAGAAAACTATGAGATAATAAAATAACCTGAATTTCACTATTAGCGAACTTGGATCTGATCACACCGAATGCTACTTGTGCTATGAAGGTGAAGCTAATCGAGGAGCAGACGAGATTGGATCTTGTGTACTTAAATTTGTTGACAAAGTTATGGCAAGTTACAGCGGCTCAGGGATTGAATTCGTATTTTTCTCAGACAATTGCTGTGGGCAGCAAAAAAATAAATTTATTTTTCTATGTAAACATTCGCTTTGATGAAGCATACCAATATAAAATCAATAACTCACAAATACCTTATAACCGGCCACACCCAAAATGAAGGGGATGCAACACATTCCACGATAAAAAAAGCTATCAAGAAAAACCTCAGATCTGGACCCATTTATGTCCCCAGCCAGTATGCTCAAATAATACGAAATGCGAGAAAGAAAGGCAATGCATACAATGTTAATAAAATGTGCTACAAAGATTTTCGATGAAATGTTTGGCTGAAGATACAGGCTTTAATGCAAAAAAATTTGAAGACAGCTGAAATAAAAGTTTTGAAAATGATTCAGGGCGAACCCACTAAAGTTTTCATTAAACATTCTTATTTTCTTATAAAGACGCGGATTTTCAAGAAATCCAAATCACTAGAAAACAATTAAAGGCTCAAGACATTCAAATTAAACCAGCATACCGATGCAAACCTAAAATAAAAGAAAATAAAAAAGAAGGACCTTATAAGTTTAGTCAACAGTAACCACATTCCAAATTTCTATGCGTCTTTTTATAGTAGTCTCTAATTCTAAATAAAAATTTTGTACTGGCAGTGTATACATACAGACTCACTTTAATTTATAATATTATGTTTAAGATGATTGATATTATGTGATGATGACTGAAATTAGTATAAGAAAAAACATTTTTAAGTGATTTTTGAAGTTCCTGTTAGATTTAAAAAGATAAAGTTCATAGTTTAAGAACTATTTTAATAAATATGTTTATTACTACATGTTGTATTATTATTAGTTATAACACCATCATAGTCTAAAAAAGAGTCATATTTTGGGATTATTTACATTTATTAAAAAAAAACATTTATAATTGCAATTGCTGTTCTAACTTTGATTTTCCTAAAGAAGATTATTAAATTTTACATTAAATAAAATTATAAGAAAAAAAAATATCAGCCACCCTGAGGTGACTACATCGTATATATATTTAAAAAAAAACTTAAAATGGCTATTACTCAAAACCTGTTCTTTAGTGATGTGACAGTTTTTTAGAGGGTGTGCGATATTTTGGCAATCAGTGTATGCATCTGTCAGCATAACTCTATTGTGCGTTTACCATACCTAGTTTTAGTTATGAAGGTGATAATAATAACATGATAGGTATGAATGATACCA